TGTTTTTCATTGATGTTTCTGTCTCTCCCTCTCTCTTCCTCACTCTCTAAATCAATAAAAACATATTAAAAACAACAACAACACACACACAAAACAAACAAACATAAAACCTTTGCTTGAAAGAAAGAAGTTATGTGATCAGCTTTGTGTTTTAAAATATTACTGTAGCAAAGTGTGGAGAATGGTTGGAAGAAAGGGAAACCAAAGACCACTGAAGTCTTTGCAGGATCTCAGTGAGAGATGATAGTGGCTGAACTAAGGCCGAGGCAATGAAAACAGAGAGAAGCAGATACATTCTTGAAACATTTGAAAGTTAGAATGTACTAAGCATGGTGATTGATTGGATGTGAGATGTAATCAATCAATCAGGATGGCCCGTTTCTGACTCAGGTAGCTGGGGGGATGATTCACTACACAGCCAGCTCTGAAAAGGGAGAAAGATGTGTTGGTCTAAGGCCATGGTCAGCAAACTGCAACTCTCGAGCCACATGAGGCTCTTTGGCCCCTTGAGTGTGGCTTTTCCAGAAAATACCACAGCCAGGGTGAATCTATTTTGAAGAAGTGGTGTTAGAAGAAGTTTAAGTTAAAAAATTTGGCTCTCAAAAGAAATTTCAATCATTGTACTGTTAATATTTGGCTCTTTTGACTAATGAGTTTGCCGACCACTGGTCTAAGGAGAGTTCTGGTCATCGGGAGAGCCATAGAGTGAAGCCTCTTTAAGTCCAATGATCCAACCAGTTCACACCACTCTCAGTGTAGACAGGTCTATTGGGAATTTAATGGTATTTAACATCTGACTAAGGGCTGGTTATTATCATTTATTCATCCATTCAATCAACCAATATTTATTAAATATCAATTATGTATTAATAACATTCAAATATTCCATAGATCCCAGTGTCCATGGAATCTGGTGGCTTAGTTTTTCTCTCTCCCTCTCCTTTCCCTTTTTGCTAATTATTTTAGTTTTGGCTTTATTGAGGTATATTTGTCAAATAATATTTTACGATATTTAAAATGTACATTGTGATGATTTGATATAAGTATACATTGTGAGGTGATTCCTCCCATCTAGTAAACAAATCCTTCACATCTTTTACCTTTTTTTATAAACATATTTAAGTCCTATTCTTTCAACCAATTTCAGTTACACAGCACAGAGTTATCAACTATAGTCACCACATTATACATTTGCTTCTCAGAATTTATTTATTTTATAACCAAAAATTTGTTTACTTTTACCACCTTCTCCCAATTTCTCCCCACCTTCCTGTCCCTGGCCACCATTTTTCTGCTCTGTTTCTATGAGTTTTGTGGTAGAAACTTTTTTTTAGAGTCCACATAGAAGTGATACCATGCAGTATTTGTCTTCCTCTGTCTAGCTTATTTCACTTAGTGTAATGCCCTTCAGGTCCATTTATGTTGTCCCAAATAGCAGGATTGCTTTCTTTCTTGTGGCTGTACAATATTCCAGTGTGTGTGTGTGTGTGTGTGTGTGTGTGTGTGTGTGTACAAATATAACATCTGAGCCACTCATCAATTAACAAGCCACTTAGGTTGTTTCCATCTCTTGGCTACTGTGAATAATGTGGCAATGAACACGGAGTACAGACATCTCTTTGAAGTATTTAATCAAGAAGTGATGTGATCAGCCAGCCAGTGTGGCTCAGTGGTTGAGCATTGACCCATGCACAAAGAGGTACCACATCGATTCTCAGGGCACATGGCCAGGTTCCAGGCTCGATCCCCAATAGGAGGCACACAGGGGCCAGCCAATCCATGTTGATTGAAAAAGTGATCCTTAAACCCAGAAGTACAACTGTAAGTTTTCAGCAGGCTTTTCCACTCATGCTACCCCACCTTATCCTACATGCTGCTGTTTGAGCTGCCATGTGCTGCTTTAGCGAGAAGCATTTACTCGCTTCCTATTTCCAGAGTTACATTAAATTTTTCTCTTTCTTTAGTTTCTTCTTTATGAACTTAGTCATTGATAGGGTTGTTGTTGTTATCTTGTTTGTTTTTTTTGTTTTGTTGAAAGAGAGAGAGAGAGAGAGAAAGAGAGAGAGAGAGAGAGAGAGAGAGAGAGAGAGAGAGAGAGAGAGAGAGAAACATCAATGTGAGAGAGACACATCATCAGTTGCCTCCCACATAGGCCCCGACCAGGGGCCCTATGGTGTATGGGCTGATGCTCTAACCACTGAGCAACTGGCCAGGGCAGTCATGGACAGAGTTTTGCCTTGGATAAAGGTTAAACACATTATAGAAAACCGTGGACAATTTGCTGTACATGGCCAGAGGCCTGGAAAATATTTTCTAGGCTCCATTGTTTCGTGACCCACTCTGGGATTTCCTGGGTCTGAAGTGATGATGTTAGAGTTACAGTAACAGATATGATTGATCAAAATATTCCTTGAAATACCTGTGTTTGATGCAATTTCATTTCATGTTTTATGCTTGGCTCTCTCAAGCGGAGGTGTGAAATTCAGGCAACAGAGAAATCTGCAGGGTTTGCAGGTAAAAGTTAAAGCACTCAACATGAACCTTTGCAGACCAGATTAATAAAGTAAAATGCATGGATTTGGAAGCCTAACCTCACACATCTAGATATATCATCTTGCAAATCTATTTCCTGGGACCAGTGGGTGCCTAGGCCACTGGACCAAGAATGATGGGAAATCTATTTTGAAAACCACTCTCCAGCCCTGCCGTGGTCAGTGGTTAGAATGCCAGCTCACGCACCGAAAGGTCTCAGGTTCAATTCCCCATCAAGGGTACCTATCTGGGTTGCAGGATTGATCCCCGGCTGGCTGGGGTACATGCAGGAGGCAACCAATGGATGTATTTCTTTCACATTGATGTTTCACTCTCGCTCTCACTCTCTCTAAATCCAAGGAAAAAAATATCCTTGGTGAGGATTAAAAAACAAATAAATCACTCTCCAATTAAAAAATAAAACTCTGTTTTTTTTAGACTCTCACTTCTCAGGGATCCTATCAATACAAGGATTAATGAAATGGCTTTGAGTGACCAATCCATTGTCAATAAATGTTGCTTTTGAAGAATGTAGTTTTTCTATTAATGTTATTTCATAATTGATGAAGATACAAGGTGTTAAGTAGTTAATTTGATTAGATGACAATACTAGTGTGATCATGGCCCGAGACTGGATTTCTATTCCAGACAGGTTTTCCCTTTTGCACAGAGAACACATTCTCTTCCAATGGCAGACACCTCAGCCTCCATCAGCCACCTCTCACTGCTCAGGCTAATGCTGCCCTTGGCAATTGCATAAATAATGCATATTTCTCGGCCCACGGATGTGGGCGGAAAGGCTGCCTCTGTATGTAAAAGCATATTATCATAGGCTGCAATTCCTGAAAGACTGAACAGGTCTTTGGCAACATCTAGTCCCAATTTCTTCACTTAAAGTTGAAGAAATTAGTCCAGAGAATAAGTGGTTTGCCCAAACTCACCCTGTTAGTACCAGAGTCAGGGCTAACTTGGGGATTTATTGAAAAGTCCGATGTTTTCACCACGGTATTGTGCCATATCCATTCTGGTCTCAGATTCCCTTCTATTACTTGGAGTGTTCGCATGATACACAGTTCCCTAGTGAGCCAGTACCTGGTAAAGTGCAGTGCAATCTTTGGTACCTCCTGGTGTTAGACTAGAGACTTTTGGTGATTTGTTACAACTCCCAAGAGTGCTACACTTCTCTAGGCAGATGGCCGAAAAGCAAGTCCGCCTGCCATGTCTGCAGGTGGGCAGCTGTGTGGGAGCCTGCAGGGCAAACGCGAACAGCATTCTGGAGACCAAGTCAAGCCAGGTGCTCTGATTACAACAAACGATAATGGCTGCCCGTCGTAATTAGGCGACAGGATTTCTGCCGGTGTATGTTCCCCTCGCTGCATTCGCTGATTAGGTCCATCAGTCATGTTCCATGTGAGCCGCATCCATGTGAGGGCCTGCTACCCACAGTGCAGTATGAAGAGCTCTGTAATGTGGGCAGCAGTTTGGCCATGAGTGGTAATTTTCCCAGCTACAGTTTATGAGGGGGGCATTTCCCAGGCTGGGCTTCTTGGGGGCAGCCAGCAAGGTGTCCTTTTCAGGAGAGCCGAGGGCCCTCCTTGTGACCTGTGACTTTTTATCACCATTTTCAAGAGGAAATACAAGATTAGTCTCCATGGCCCTTTTTGGCCCTAGAATTTTCCTTTAAAATAATATGATATATTTTTTCAGACCATAAAAAGAATGCATGTTTGTTCTGGAAAATGCAGAAGATTACAAAAAATAAATAAATAAAATAAAAGGCACTCATATTTTCAATGCAATGATAACTATTTCCAATTATTTATTTATTTATTATTTTTTTAAAAATATATTTTATTGATTTTTTACAGAGAGGAAGAGAGAGGGATAGAGAGTTAGAAACATCAATGAGAGAGAATCATCGCTCAGCTGCCTCTTGCACACCCTCTACTGGGGATGTGCCCACAACCAACATACATGCCCTTGACCGGAATCGAACCTGGGACCTTTCAGTCTTCAGGTCGACGCTCTATCCACTAAGCCAAACCGGTTTCGGCTATTTCCAACTTTTTAATTCAAAAGTTTTTCCAGTCTGTTTCCCAGGCATATAGAGAATATATGTATTTATTTTTATGAAATTGAGACCCTAATGAATCCAATGCTGAAATTCTAAGAGTCTATAACATATGCAGAACTAAACAGTAAGTTCCTTGCTCAAAGCCTGGCATGTATTAGTTGCTCAATTAACAACAAACATTTGCTCACTGATGGAGCGAGAACTGTGGTTCCTGGACTTGAGCATTCTCATTGGAAGATCTTGCACTCAGGCCATGCCCAGATCTTGACAAAAACCTTTGCATGTTAAAGGAACATAATAAACTGGAAACATACTCCTTTCCTTTAAGAAAGCCTCCCTTTCTCAAGAGAGCATCAGCATTCACCTCCATTTTTGTGCTCATTATTTATTTTAGGAGGCGTCATTTGATGTGAGAGCTGCACATATAAGAGACTTGCCGGAAGCATGGACCTCAGTGAAACATGGCCTTTAGAGGAAGGAGCCTGGCTGTCTCATGCAGGAATTCATCATTTTGCCAACACCAGAGGAGGTACGGCTGCCTTTGATGTCCCTAATACACGTGGTACTCTTCAACTCCTGAACTCATTGTATCCGCCCAGCTGTGCTCAGTCGGTGCTCAGTGCCATTCGTCATTTCAAAAGCAGTCGGTAGAAAGGAGGAGCCTGGACTTTGGGGTCAGCAGACCTGGGTTCAGACTCTAAATATTCTATTTACAAGTGATTGGCCTTGAAAAATCTATCGTGTCCTCAGCTCTAACATGAGAGTAGAAGTGCCTGCATTGCAAGGCTGTGATAGGACCATGAGTAATGTAAGCTGTCATTTGCTGAGCCCTAGCCAGGTGGGAAGTTAGTCATCTATCTTTGAGCTCCTAATCTGTGTCAGGTATTGTGTTCCCGCTTATCTCTTCTTCCCTCACCTCCTCTCCTCTCTTCTCCCCAGCCTTGCAAGGATTGGGTTGAGGACAATGCAACCAGTATAAACAGAGTAGGCCAGCTCACCTTCCCTTCTTTTTCTTTGTCCTCGAATCTGATTGATACAACTCGCCATTAAAGGATGGGGCTGTGGTTACTCTGCCGAAGTGCAGCATAAATCTAAGAACTATAACCTGACACAGATCCTCTGTCATGTCTAAGAGTTCAACCTTCTCCCATCCCCCAAATTATTAGAGATCTACTTTGGAGGTAGGAGCCAGTCTATGGATGGAGAGATCAAAGCCCATTGAGGTTAACACAGTCACATGATGTTTTTAGTAAGGATATGCCTTTCGTGTATTTGTTTATCCATTTGCTCAATAAATATTGAGTTTCTGCTATGTGCCAAGCATTGGGAATACAAGAGAGGGGGGACGAGGTAGTCATAGAGATCACCAGACTACTCTCTCTGCTGTGCCCCAGGCTCTCAAATGGGGTGACCTACAGCAAGGAGCATCTACTGAGCTTCTGCACTGCAACTGCTACTGCATCTTTCTACCAAGACTACTCCACACAATGGGAGAGTCCCCATGGAGAAAATCAGTCTATGGTGATGGAGGTGTCCAAGGCAGTATTGCCGCAAGTGGGTGAAACACAGTAACAAGGAATCAGTGTGATTGAAACTTGAAAATTCTTGTGGGCAGTTGGTGTTAGGAGGTTCTCAGAGGAATGGACTCAGGTCCTAAAGGACTAGGTAGAGGCCGAAATGGGAGCCTAGTGAAAAGCTGAAGCGAGATAAGGCACTCACTCTCAGGAACAGAGTGGAAACCCCACTGTGCCAGACCTAAGTCAGAACTGGACGAACTACAAAAAAACAGTGGTGATAATTTGTTAGGAAGATACATTATACCAGACATTATGCGAAGCCTTTTTTGTATAGATACAGACTTTCTCAACTCATTCTCACAACAACCTTATCCTCATTTTATTAATGAAAAAAAAACTGAGCTGGAGGAGGCTGAGAAACGTGTGCACGGTCATTCGGCTGAAAAATGGCAGAGTGGGGGGTTCAAACCTAGATCTGCCTAACCCCAAGTCACTGTAGGCTTTTGCCCCTCAGTTCACTCTCCAACTCTCCCTGCTCTGCCTTCTCAGTTTCAGGCTCTGGTGGTCCCTGTTACAGGTTTTTATTTTGTTGCCACAGTAGAAAAGAGAACTAGCTCTGAGCAAGGTTGGAAAATAAACATGTTGTGGCAATTATCATCCAAGAACCTCCTATGGCCGCCTCAGCTAATGCACTGCCAAGGCCTGGACCTACCTGTTCCAGAGCAGGTTTCCTCCACACCCCGTTCCCCTGTCCCATCTCTCCCACTCCTGGGCAGCATCAGCTGCTCTGTCTCTGAGGCCCTCTGTGGGCGAATGGGATTGGCATTTCTAGTGAAGTTCCTAGGGAAAGTCCTGGAAGTATCCAGGCCTTGGGGTATTTTTTCTTGGCTTCATGGAGTCCTCCAAGGATGGTGTTGTCTGGCTGGGAGGCCTAGTCATCCTGGTGAGTCACAGGCCTTGAGCTGGACCGAATCATTGCGACATCGGCTTTTGTATTCTCCTCAGAGCATCCCAGGCTGCCAGGGAGGTGGGACAGCCTCCAGGAAACCACCTGGGGGAATCCAGGAGGTCTGGGGGTGATCCGAAGTTTCTGGAGGAAAGTCCCCCTGCCACTCCTGCCTCCTTCATGCCTAAAAATACCCTCCAGGATTTGGGCCAGGAGCTTGACAAACTTATTTTAAAGGTCTGGAAGACATTTTTCTAAGTGAAATCATATGCAGTGCCTGACACACAGAATAGAAGGGAGGCCGTGCTGGGCCAGCCTAATTCTGACTGTCGCATCACAAGCTGATGTGGCTGTTGCTCGGATTTGCCAGAGGCCACACTGTAAGTATGGGGATCGGTGCAGGCCTCCACAGCCCTTCTCAATGAATCTGTAAAAGCACTTTTCCTGTTATTTATATATGCTTTACTCAGCTATTTGGGATTCCTGCTGTCATCCATTCTTCCCAGGGGACTCCACCTGCGTGGGTTCCTGCTTAGAAGATAGTCAGAAGTCTGGGAAACATAACCTGGCAGTGGGGGCCAGGTGCATCCAGAAACCCCATGGTGCTGTTCCCATTATGTCCATAAAATCAAGAAGCAGCAGATTTCCCCTCTGGTCCCTCTCAAGGTCAGATATTTTACTATAGTAAAATATATATATATATTTTTAAAATTGATTTCAGAGAGGAAGGGAGAGAAAAAGAGAAACATCAATGATGAGGGACAATCATTGATTGACTGCCTCCTGCACGCCCCCTACTGGGAACCAAACCCGAAACCCAGGCATGTGCCCTGACTGGGAATTGAACCGTGATCTTCTGGTTCATAAGTCAATGCTCAACCACTGAGCCATGCCGGCCGGGTGGACAGACAGAGTTTTAACATATCGGGAAGGAAGGAAGGAAGGAAGAAAGGAAGGAAGGAAGGAAGGAAGGAAGGAAGGAAGGAAGGAAGGAAGGAAGGAAAGAAGGAAGGAAGTTTTTCTGAGAGCAGTCTGTGTGCCAAGCACTCCATTGGAGTTGTTTCATTTTATTCAAATTCTCATTGAAATCTTGTCAAGTAGTTATTATCTCAATTTGCAGAGAAGGAAACCGAGTCTTGTAATGTGCTAAGATAACTAAGCCAAACTCACCCAGCAAAGGCCAGTAGAGCTCACATTCAAACTCAGGTCTTCATACCCCAGAGCTGTGCTCTGTCCATTTCAATTCTCTGTCAGTTTCAAAGAGCAACACTTTTGGGAATATCCACCTTTCTATGATGCTTTGTCCTTTTTGTCTATGTCTTTTGCAGACAGTATGGTAAAAGGACAAAAAAGATGGAATCTGTTCTCCATGATCTCTGATTGGCATTTTTTTAAAAACAAGATTCATGAAGGTCTGTTCATTTTACAGAGCAGGTTTGGGGACTTATCAAAGACCAGAGGCTTGGTGCACGAATTCGGGGACCCATTGGGGTCCCTCAGTCTGGCTGCAGGATAGGAACGAATCTGGCTCTCTGACATCCCCAAGAGGTCCCACATTTCAAGAGGGTGCAGGCCTCCACTGGTGCACTATCAGGGTCAGGGAGGAACGCAGGAGGTTGGCTAGCCATGGAGGAACTTCAGGAGGGCTCCAGGATGTGTGTGACCCGTCTATTCAGTCCTGATTGGTCGGACCCCAGCAGCAAGCTAACCTACCAGTCAGAGAGTCTGCCCCCTGGTGGTCAGTGCATGTCATAGCGAGGAGTTGAGCAGCCTTAGCATATCATTAGCATATTATGCTTTGTTTGGATGAATGGACGACTGGACAAACACACACTTAGCATATTAGGCTTTTATTACATAGGACTAGAGGCCCAGCACACAGAATTGTGCATGGGTAGGGTCCCTAGGCCTAGCCTGTGATCAGGGCCATCTTCTGCCCGCTCGCCAGTCCCCAGTCCCGCCCTGCCACCGCCACCCACCTGGTTCCCCTCTCCAGTTCTCAATCCTGTCCTGCTGCCACCCACCTCGGTTCCCCATTCACCATCTAGTGATCATAGCCTACTGGCCGAGAGGAGGCGGGGTAGGGAAGGGAGGGGCCAAGAGGTGGTCAATGCACCTCATAGTGACTGGTCGAGTGGTCGTACTTGTCATTATGCCCTTATGGTTGCTGGGCTTTTATTATATAGGATTAGAGGCAGAATTTGGGCTGGAACCCAGGCCTCTGCTTCTCTCTCCAGCACCTATACCATGCTGACTGCTAAGACCTTAGCTTCTTGGAAAAATTATTTTCGTATGAAAGAAGAGAGGCCCCTGTGTAGCCAAGAAAACTATTTGCAGTCTCCGAAAGAAGCAGTTTCCACTCAGGCCTCTGTCCAGAGTGACCGGGTGGAAAAACGTGAGAGCGGGGTGGTCTCTGCAGCTCAGCAGAAACTCACATTCATACAGTAGATGTCTTTGTTTTACTGGTTCAGTCATATATTTCCATTGCAGCAAATGTTTTTGCACTTAATCTTAACGCAGGGTATTTTGTTTGATTTCACTCAATAGATCTAAGTGTGAGCTGAAAGTGTATGATTTTTCCTCTTCAGGGACCTGTTTCTGTGTGTATTTTTGGAATGGTTCTTTATTCTGACTCATATCCACATACACCTTCCAGTGGCTTCTTAGCTCAGCCAGAGTTTATTCCCTTTGATGTGATGCTGAGTTAGGAGTCTTTTAAATCTTCGTCTCTATTCCATAGCCGGTAACAGGAACCCTGGGGGCCTGGATGGATTCAATTTGTTTATATGTTTCATAGAACACTATGCTTTTGTTAATAGCATCCACTGCATTGGTCTTTGAAATTTTCAGAAGACATATTTAGCATTTTTACCGAAATGAATCCTTGGTTTCCTGCCAGACTTAATATGATATCATGTCTTGGCCTGTACTGATAATGATTTTTTCCCAGGTGAGATATAGTTAACTGTTCTTCCTGTAGAACCCGTTTCTTTCTCCTGGAAGTTATAAAGCACTTAAAGCAGTTATCTGAGGCTTTGTTTTTCTTTAAGGGAAATCAAGCAACTG